CCCCCCCCCCCCCCCACAAGCCCAGCAGGCTTGGTTGCATCACTGCGTCTTGCAGGCAGGCAAGCAGGCACCCCCGTGTAATTACATTATTGTACTTATTTGTGTCACTGCTGCAAGTCTGTTCACTGAACAAGCCAATTGGTGCGGTCAAGAAGCATTTTTTTTTTCCCTCTGCTGCTTGCTGTGCCTTCAAGGGGGGCTTGCCTTCCTCTGACTTGTCAGAGATCTGCCACGGCTGTGACACGTCACTAGGCACAGAGCTTCTTCTAAGGTGTCTTGCCTGCTGTATCCCATTCTCATGTGCAGGGTTCAGCTGCCAGCTGTTTTCCCCCTAGCCAAACTGGCTTGGGCCTGGTGGGTTTCCCCATTCTATGCAGCTTGGGGTATGGTTTGCCTTCTGGATCATCTGGGCACATCTCACCTCAGCAATTCCCTGACATTGCCAGGGCCTCGGGTATCAGTGGTACCTTGGTCTTTCCCATTCTCTTTCTTTCTACATGGCGCACAGGTTTGGGTTTCTGAAGATGGAAATATTTGTCCTTTGGGCTTGAGATATATTGGCCAGTGATAAAAAGTGGCTGTCAGATGAGTCATGATGAATGACTTCTCTGAAGTGTTAATATTGTATTTCTAATTGCTTATGCATCCACTGGCTGAGAGAAACAGAACAGGTTGGACTGGCTGAGAGGGAAAGATCTGTCCTTTGATTCAATTCCAATTTCAGGTCTCCTTTTCTATCATATATGCTATGTTTACACCCAGACCAGCTATATGCCAAGCACCCTGGCAGGAGAGAAGCAGCAGGATATACAGGCTGCTTGCAGCTGGGAGTTCCAGTCCAAAAGCCACTGGGAGACATCAAGAATCAGACCTGCCTTTGCCACTTCAAGGTTATGAATTTGAAAGTTGCCTACATTTTCTTAGCCTTGTCTGCAGTAATAAATTTTATTCTAGCTTATTTGTTGCTGGGTAAAGAATGGAGACCAACCACCTGTGGTACCAGGCCCCAGCATATCCAGAAGACAGGACATAGCATCCAGAATGACCACAGCCCAGTGTTTGCTGATCTTACCCCAGGAGAAATGGTACAAGTGGTGAGGTATCTGCGGGAAAGCCTTGGAGTGCCTCTGGTAGATGCCTCTCATGCAAATCCCTCTGACAACTGCATTTACTACATCAGCATGCAGCTCCCCACCAAGGCAGAGGTACTGCGGTTCTTGGATCGAGGGGGAGTTCGCCCCCCACGGCAGGCACTAGCGGCTATTTTCTTTGGAAATCAGCCAATGCCAAATGTTACAGAATATCTGGTGGGCCCCCTGCCGAAGCCAACATATCACAGGGACATCACAGTGCTGAAATATGGAAGGAAGCTACCATATTATCGCAGACTGATTCTACGCAATGAGTATAACCAGATTGATGCTTTTTTACAGAGCAGGGAATTCCCCAAAGCACCAAACTTCATGAGTCAGGTATTTGATTACAATGGGACTAACCTGGCATCTCTCAATGTGGCCCCTCGAGGATTTCAGTCTGGAGATCGCAAAACCTGGATTCTTCACTTTCAGAATGTGCCTGGCTTTTATGTGCATCCTGTGGGGCTGGAGGTACTGGTTGATCACAGCAGCCTGAATATCTCCCAGTGGAAGGTATTGAAAGTATTTTATAATGGCCAGTACTTTGAGGGGATGGTGCAGCTGGAGAGTGAGTTCAAGCAGGGCCACGTGAAGGTGGACAAAGTGAAAAAAGCCCCACCTGATGGGGGATACTCTTCCCTGAAGCCTAGAGTGCCCCACCAGAATCTGGGGCCCTTGCAGTATGAGCCTCGTGGGCCTCGCTATAGCATCAGAAGCAACCAAGTTGTCTTCCAGGCCTGGAGCTTTGCCTTTGGGATGGATGTTAATACAGGGCCACGACTCTTTGACATTAGATTTAAGGGGAAGAGGATTGCCTATGAACTCAGCCTCCAGGAAGCCTCTGCAATTTATGGCTCCAATAGTCCAGGGGGGATGTCCACCAGATACCTGGATGCAAGCTATAGCATTGGAAAATTTGCATTTTCACTTGTCCCAGGGGTTGATTGCCCCTACTTAGCAACGTATTTGGATAGCTACTACTTAATTGAATCCTTCGTGCCTGAGAAGCGTGAAAACTCCATCTGCATTTTTGAGGAGAATTCTGAAATCCCTGTTAGACGCCATTATAACAAGATGTACTATGGGGGGCTGGCCGGCTCAGTTCTGGTGTTTAGGACAATTTCAACTGTTGAAAACTATGACTATATTTGGGACTTTATATTCCACCAGAATGGAGCTGTTGAAGTCAAAGTCCAAGCCACTGGATACATAAGTTCCTCCTTTTTCTTTGGTGATGGTACTGAATTTGGAAGTAGGGTTGAGGAGCACACCCTCGGGACCATGCATAATCATGCCCTGCATTTTTAGGTGGACCTAGATATTGGCGGTAGGTCTCTCTCCCTATAAGATTTGTTGTTGTTGGGCTCTTGTCACGAGGAGTAAAACAATTGAGTTTTGCAGATTTCGAGGCAGAAAGAAATGGCTATTCCTATTTGTCAGAATTTGCAATCCAATATAGATGGAAGAGCCTTGGAAAGATTTTTTACTTGGCTGTGTTGGCAGAACATGGGGACTCTAACAATGGCTCTAATCTCCAGTGTTTCTGTGCTTTCAGAAGGAACCACCTGGGAAATGTCATTCATTTATTAAAGTGTGAGGCAAGAATTGTCCCACTTTGAAGTTTCCCAACTTATTCCTGGGTGTACTTTGTAGCCGTGTTGGTCTGAGACAAAAAGACATACAAAAAACTAGAACTCTTGGTTCCAAAATCCTGGCATTTTCACCTTGATTCTTGGGCTGTTTCCTTTCCAGTTTTGAGCCAACACTGATTGATCTAACTGGAAAGAGCTGGAAAATCACTGTCCATCTCTTACACTGGGTTTTTTCTGTGCAAGTACTAATTACTGCACATGCACAGACAGGGAGGTTCAGTGTTCTTCTACATATAATACACCTACACACTATGGGGTTTTGCCACTAAGCAGTCACTGTAGTGCCAAGAATGAGGGTTTGAAGGCATCTGCCCTATTTGCTCCATGGGGAGCCAGTACCTCAGGATGTCTCAGCCTCTTGGATATGATTATCATCATAGTTCCTTCATGTTGTCTGTCTTCATTCCTTCGTGGGGGATGCTGAGCCAAGCCTAGGGACATGAACTGGTGCTGGAGGCAAACCTTACAGATGGGTTAACTGGTATTTGGTGGTGATTTAAAACCATCATGTCTCTGTCCTAGGGCCAACCTTCTGGTGTCTCTGCTAAAAATCCTTTCTCACTGGTTTGTCTTTGTGTTTACCCAGTCTTTTGCACACCTTTTCTGCTGATTCATCTTCTCTTACTGGTTAAGACTTGCTTGCTGCAAGACCTTGAATTGATTGGAGTCTTGTGACATGCTCCTGCTCTCAAATTCTTGGCTTTCCCTGACACTTTTTCAGTTCCCCTGCTCTGCTAGATCGCTGCAAATTGAGAAGTAGAACTACAGGTTTCCCTTGTCAACTGCTGGGCTTAGGTTCCTGAAAGTTCCCGTGGTTGGCAAAACCGTGGTTGGTAAGACAAAAGGCTTATGAGAAAAATGGCAGGTGGCGGGCTGATGCACAGCCACAGAAAACAGTACTTACTTAAAACTGTATACTGTGGTAGCCAAAATGGTATATAGAATATTAAGTGTGGATACTCAAAACCATGGTTGGCGAGGAAAACCTGTATGTATGACGTATGGTGGGTCATGTACATTAGCCAGAGTACAGTGTTCTCATTTGGGGATAACTCATTCTTTGGCTGGAGGCTAGTACCAAGGCTACGCACCCATTCAGACCCACATAACCATCTGCGTGGTTGTAGATGACAAATTACAAGTTCACCCACAAATCACAGCTACAAGGATTGCTGAGACGAAGAGCTAGGGAGGACTTAATAGGGCCCTGTGGCATTGGAGCACTGGGACTGTTGCTACAGAAATGTAAATGTTGTTTTTGGCATGTGTGTTGCTCATCTGGCTCCAGTGCACGATGAACACAGCCCGCACAAAGAAGGATTTCTGAGCCTCGCCACCACAAAGGCTTGGTGGTGGTGAGGCTCAGAAACGCTTATTGTCTTTAGGCATGGTGCTCTCCCTCCCCCTAGCTCTTGCTTGCCTGCAACAAGGCATCAGCACAAATCCATCCCTCATGCCAATTTAAAGTTCCAAGTTTCCCAGTTCCTCTTTCATGTACACCACTCCACATTACTAGGCAAAGCATGTTGACTCAAGGAAGCTGTGTACCATATTCCCTTGTTATCTCAAGCTGTCCTGTGCCTCTTGTGCATCCTGATCTACATGCTCCTGTTCTTTTTTTTTTATCATACAAGTACCACGCGGTCCTGTGCTCGATGCATCTGACTCCCCTTCCTGGCATCACTATATGGTTCTGTTATCTTGTACCAGCCTCTTACATGCATATTCCAGCTTGAGTTTGTTTAAACAGTTCATATATCAGTCACTGGTGAGGCCTATTTGGTCAATGCCTTACCAAAGCCTTTGTGTGAGGAGTGTACGTGCTGATCGATGCTTGCACTAACCTGTGCTCCAGCAGGCCCTACAATACCATGCAGACACCACACTGTTCAGAGTCTGTAATGCAGGAATGATGATGAGAATAAGCTAAAACTTATTGAGCATATGCAGTCTAGAAGTGAGATATGAGGGCCCAAGAAGTGATTTCTCAGTGGTTTTGCCTGTGTTTTGTAGGGACAAAAAATTCTCTGGTAACCCATGACATGGCATTTGAGACAGTGCAGGCTCCTTGGAGCCCAGAGCACCATATAGAGCGGCCACGGCTCATCAAGAAAGTCCTGGACAAGGAGGACAAGGCTGCATTCCGTCTGGACGCAAAGATGCCCAGATACATCTATTTTGCTGCCAACAGTGAAAATAAATGGGGCCATGAGCAAGGTTACAGGTTCCAGATTATTAGCTTTCCTGGGGACCATCTGCCAGAAACAAGTACAATGGAGAGAGCCATCAGCTGGGGGAGGTAGGTATCTTTTTTTCTATATGTTAATACCTAGCTCATGTCCATGCCTAAGACTTCTGTGGGTGTCTGAATGCCTTAGTGGCTACATGGCTCAGGTATACTAGAGTGGATATGAACAAGGGCTGTTTCATGATATAATAAAAGAGTATTACATTTCCTCTTCATGATCACTGGTTGTTGGGCAAAAAGCTGTTTGCCAGTCCCTTGGAGTTTAGACCCAAAGCCAAACCGGGGTTAGAAACTATTGAAATGAATTGTCATTGGCACATTTTATCCCGTTGCCACACATTTCTTCTCCCACACTTCTTGTTTCACAGCCGCTTTCAGCATCACCTTCTCTCCTTGTCCTGTGCCACACTATGGCCACAGCTTGGTCGGTGTATCTGAGTCGTACCCGGCAGTGTCCTCTGGAGTTCTGGTGCTAGTTCTGATCCCACAGGTGCAGACACACAGCCTGTGCCGATTCACCTCGCTCACATCCTACCTCTGTTCTGCTCTTGGTGTTTCCCTGATTGAATCTGTCAGTTGTGCTGAATTTCAGAGGGCCAGCTGTGCTGGGCAGATTCTGAATGTTGAAAAAGTCAGAGGTGGAAAAGCCCCATGGCATCTTCTAGCACAAGTGCCTCCCTGCCCTAGCTCGGAAGTCCTGTAGTGTATTTCTTGCAGGGCATTGGTTTTTAAACTGTTTCACAAAACTGGGTTTCCGCATTAGGTCATCAGGGATTCCACAGAGACTGGTGGTAATGGTGAGGCTGGCCAGGAAGTAGCGTGCTGCCATTGTTGGGCTGGGCTGCTGGGCTCTGCACCAGTCTTTAGGATAGGGGTAGGGATTCCACAGCAGATGTGATATGAAGTGGTTCTGTGGTTTTAAGAAGTTTGAAAACCACTGTTGTGTGGGTACTTTTGTTACAGGCTTCAGTTTTCCCATCACTTTGGAGCCCTTTATCAGCCCATTGATGACTGTTCAGGCACACAGGTCACTCTGCTGGTCATCTCTCTCACTCATCTGCAACCACTTTTGATGTTATTGGGAACATTGGGAGGCTGCCTTCAGATAACCAGGGTGTGGCTTTAAGTGTCCTATTCCACTTGGCATAGTCCTCTGGGGCTCCCACCCCCTCTGCACTGTCTCCTGGGGCTCTGGCAGCCTGCTTATGGTTCAGTGGGCCTCAGGCAGCCCGCCAGTTCAATAATGTAATCACTGGGACATCTTCAGTGGCCACATCCACCCCTACCAGGTCTCAAAACTATTAACAATCCACATAAACAAACAGTTCTGAACTATACGTAGATGAACTTTCATGCTCACGCTCATGCTCATCAGTTCTGCAGAGTTTTTTCTCTTCAGGGGATCTGGGCTAGACTGAGGCTCCTTACCAGAAGCCAGATTTATATGGCCCTGTGCTCCACCCCTTCTGGTCACCTGACCACTGATTTTTAGGGCCAGTCTCAAGGTCTGTTAGCAGGCTTGTTGCTTTGGCCCACTGCTTTACAGCCTTTGCCTGCCACCTGTCTCTCTTGCTAACAGGCTCACTGCTGTATAGCTTGCTTCCCTGCAAGCTGTATCCTGTAACCTGCCCCTGTAGCGCTGCACTTACTTCCAGTAAAAGGGGTTAGTGGCCCTCTGTTACAGGTATTTAGCTCAGCCTAATTATCAACACCATGGGTGATGCTGTTTCCATCCCTTCACTTGAACCTATTCCACATCTCCACAAGAGCCCAAGTCAGAGCACTTCATCTGGATGCTGAGGTGCTACAGTCCCACAAATACCATTGCCCTTAGTTCTGGGGAGGGGATACAAATGGAAGAGCATCCCTTTTTGATCACCAGTGGAAGATCTTTTAGAGGCTGTGTCCCAGATTCACATTTTCTTACTTATGATGACTGCAACCTGATAGAATATCATGGGCATACCACAGTCCTCCACATCATGGAGCAGGTGGCAGCCTTGTGTCCTGTGCAGCTGGTGGATTTCGCAAATCCTGAAAAGCATGAGTGTTTCTGTCCTCCTCTTTGCTGTTTAGGTACAAACTGGCCGTCACTAAACGGAAAGAAAATGAGCCAACCAGCAGTAGCATCTACAACCAGAATGACCCCTGGACACCCACCGTGGCCTTTGCTGACTTCATAAATAATGAAACCATCATAAATGAGGTAAACCAGCCTCTCTCTCTCTTTGTTCTGCAGCTATGTATTACAGTGGACTGAGTTTTATCATTGGCATGAACCAGCTGGGGCACAGGACGAATACCTGCAAACCTGACTTACTGGCTCAAGGATCATTTCCTAATAGGGACATGGTTTTTTGCAACAGTAATATAACCTCGGTGAATGAAAAAGCAACTCTGTGCTTTTCTTCCTCCTGACCTGTGCCTCCTGCCCTTCGCTGTGGTGGCTGTTGCTCATGAAAGGTTGTGTATGGGGTAAGGCAGAATTCATTGAAGCAACCCAACATTTCCTCCAGGGGAAAAGTTTAAGGAAAATCTTCAGTAAATGTATTCCACTGTCTGAGCCAGCCTTGTAGTGCAGGAGCCCAGCACATGGCATTCACAGATTCAGGACTAGGCACAGGTTTTTTCACAGTAGCTTTACCTGGTTTTTCCTAGTGTGTGCTTCTAACTGGATGTTTTCCTGAATTAATTAAATTGCTTGACTCTGTTTCCTTCCCTAGGACCTGGTTGCATGGATAACAATTGGTTTCCTTCACATCCCACATGCTGAGGATGTGCCCAACACTGTGACAGTGGGGAATGCAGTTGGCTTTCTTCTGAGACCCTACAACTATTATGATGAAGATCCCTCCATATATTCACCTGACGGTGTCTTTTTTACAAGTGAGCAGGACTTCGGTTCATGCGAAGTCAATCCCATAGCATGCCTGTCCAAAACAGCCTCCTGTTTACCAAATCTTCCTCCGTTCACCTACAGTGGCTTCCAAAATATGACAAGACTCTAGAGCAGCAGTTCCCAATCTGTGGTACTCGTACCACCAGTGGTATGCAGACAACCTGTCAGTGGTACGCGTTAACAGAATTATTATAATTACTTTTATATGGGAAAAAATTGCTGGTGGTATTTAAGGTTGAACTGGAAAATTTTCTAGTGGTACTTAAAGTTGTATCATTTTAAATTGGTGGTGTGCAATCTGTCAGAGTTTGGGAACCGCTGCTCTAGAGTTATGGGTTGTAGGGCATTGATGGAGTAAAGAAAAGAGTCAGAGGTACCAGGGTGGTGGCTTTGCTCAACAGCTCTATTTTCATATTGAAGAACTGTCTTAGAATCCACGTAGTCAATGACTTTACATAGCTTTTTTTATTGTAACTTTGCTGTTATAATTGCTTAAAAATATATCCTTAAAGGAAAACAAGTTCCTTAGTGTGCTGCCAGATAGGAATTTGTGTTAATCTTCCATACATTAGCATGCTGAAATCTAGTATTGTATTTTCTTGTATAAAATATGCATCTTCCCCCCCCCCCCC